ATATTTATTATTTTGCCCTGTTGAAAAGTCTAAATGTATACTAGTATAATACTTATAATTAATGTAGCCTTATAGTTTCAAAACCCAGGGTGTTGGAAATAATCACTTCAATCATCAATGAAACATTGCACCAGGAAATTATATCAGACAATATACAGTCTATGTTTTAGCCTGTGTGTGTGCGTGTGTGTGTGTGTGTGAGATGCTAATACATGATTAATATTACAACAGGGAGATGAATGAGTAAACAGAAAAACACCATTTTGAAAACACATTTATTCAGGGACTGGGTGTTTTTTTCCTGCATTGCACACAGATCTGTCCCACCTGTGATGCAGGAGCAGATTGGACGGGATGGTCATATGGTCGGAGATCACGTGCAGGAGGCAGCTCAGTGCAAAAGAAAATGGGGTTTTGTGTAAATCTGGGGGCTTAATGTTATCATATATCAAGCTACCTCGTAAAACCGACACTGAAGCCTACCGGACAACAAATCACAGGTCAAAAATATGAGTTCTTCATATTATGTGAATGCTCTTTTCAGCAAATATACGGCTGGGGCTTCTCTCTTCCAAAACACTGAGCCCACTTCTTGTTCCTTTGCTACCAACTCCCAGAGAAGCAGCTATGGAGCCGGCACCGGTGCCTTTCCGCCATCAATGGCCAGTCTGTACAATGTGAACAGTGCACTCTATCAGAACCCTTTCTCTGGATACAGCCTGGCCTCAGACGCTTATAACGTGCATTGTTCGTTTGATCAGAACATTCCGGTGCTCTGCAATGACCTGGCCAAAGCCAGCTGTGACAAGGCGGATGAATCTACCCTGCACTCCCAGACTGACAGTAATTTCCGCATTTACCCGTGGATGAGGTCTTCAGGTATGGGTAAGCTGGAGGGAATGCTAGGAAAGGCCATTAATGCACAGCCAACTAATAGTGCAGAGCTTTATGGATTTAATTAGGAGAGCAGGCGCCATGGCTCTCTATTCAGATCTGCACTGCACACTTTTTATTACCCACTTAATGGCTTAAACGCTGCACTTCTGTAGCATGTATACGTCCAAATAGAATTTTCAGATCATTCAATGTATTGTTTAAAAAAAAAAAAATGCGTTTTGTACCATTCCTTCATCATTGAAAGAGATGAACATAGGCAGAGAAAAATAGAAGTGGCTTGCAGTGTATTAAATTACATTATATATGTCTATGTTTTTCTTTCAAAATATTCTATGCATGTGTTGTTAAAAATCGTTTTTTCCACTGCGCAGTCCATAGTTAAAATGTAAAATAAATGGTATCTTGTGACCATAAGGAAATATTTTGTTCATATACGCATGAATGGAAATATACAATCCGCTGCTGTTTGATGGTAGAGGTAGGTGAGAAGTCTTCGTTGGCTAGGCCTTTGTGGAGCCTTGTTACTTTGTATCATAGGATTATAGTAGAATGAGACACACACAACCATGACTAATACTTGTGTAATATATAGGACCCGACAGGAAGAGAGGTCGGCAAACATACACTCGTTACCAGACCCTGGAGCTGGAGAAAGAATTCCACTTTAACCGCTACCTAACCCGGAGGAGGAGAATAGAGATCGCCCACGCTTTGTGCCTGACAGAGAGGCAGATCAAAATCTGGTTCCAGAACAGGAGGATGAAATGGAAAAAGGAGCATAAAGATGAGAACGGCGGTACCTCTGATGCTGGGGAGCAGACCCCAGCACCTACTACTACATCTGATGAAGACAAGGACAAAAAAGGGGAATAATGTGCCTGCAGGGGATGGGGAAAAGGGGGAGGGGTGTTCAATGTACTAACTAGAATTTGCACGGGACAGTGAAAGAAAGCAATTTTGAAAAAATAATTTCAAACTGTATTTGATGTCTCTTCGTGGAAGAAATAACTGATAACTGAAAGCAGGCCATTGAACGTCTTGAACGTCTTCAGCACAGCGCCCATGAGGTGCAACCTACAAGGACAGAAAAATACAAAAATAAAAGCAGATAGTTCCAGGAAAAAAAAACACACATACCAATAGCAAATACCTAGATTAAAATATTCAGTGTAACAACCACTACAGTAACATTATACTACCTATTCAATACTACCTATTTTATGTTCTGCTGTAACGCTATAGAATAGCTACAATGTATTCAAATTGTGAATCTTGCACACCAACGTGAAGTAAGGACTGTGTGTAATTTTTATATTGTTAAACGACCATTTGAATTTAGCACCAGTGCAAAAATATGTGCAAAAAGTCAGCTTTTTCCCATTTGCAATTCCCTCTCTTGACCTAAGTTTATGGTGTAGTAGATTTAACGTGTTTGCATTGATATTTGAAAGGTAACGTGACCACATTATTTGTATCCCAGGGATTTGTATCTGTGTACAGTTGTTAATGTTTTGTCGTATTAAGCTGCCTTTCTATAAAGATCTGCGTCATTTGATACATTTTACATAAAGATTCATCTATGATAGCATGGTATTATTTAGAAAAAAAATACAAATGAGTAAAAAAAAAAAAAACAAGTTTGCTCGACATTCATCTGGAAATGATGTGATCAATGTTGTTTGTGAATAATATAAATATTGTTTATGCATTATAAAAAATAAAAAAATAAATATGTTCAAGTAAACTTCAAAGATAGCTCTGTTGAAGTATCTGGTATAATATATTTTTTTGGTTACAATAAAACAATTGTGTTTGATCATTGATCTCTTTTCTTATTCTTATTGAACACACCAAGAAAATGAAAAATACATAAACAACCAATAAATAAATACATACATAAAAGAGTACAAATAAATGAGTAAAGTGTCAATAAACTTACTCAAACAAATGAATATTAGTGTGTGTGTGTGTGTGTGTGTGTGTGTGTGTGTGTGTGTGTGTGTGTGTTTGTAGATATGTGTCTGTATTTTCTCATTAAAAGGATTACACATACACATATCATCTGGTCAGAACATATAATTAAATACATAGAAAATGATTAAAATGTGTTATAAGTAACGTATAGGCAAGAAAAACACACACTGTTGGGTTCACAAAGACTGTACATGTGCACCCAAAGTGATTATTTCCCTTGTACAGGGAGCCAGAGCTAGCAGCCTATTTCATGTAATAATTCAATTAATATTTAAATGAGAGCCTGGTTTAATGGAACAGCCGAGCGTGCAGAGGCTGGGGTTGTTTGAGAGTTAAGATGGCGACTTGGTAAGACCTGCCTCTTCTTAGTGATGAGGCAATGGCTATAAATCCGTTGTTGTTTATGAAAATTTACAACTTTGCAATACAAGTTTATGAGTTGCTCGGTTTTTCCATTGGTCGCTGCTGGTCATGTGGATAGTAACTGTGAACATGAAGTTTTTTATAATTTCCCTTGCGAGAATAGAGCTGCATTCTTTTGCTGTGCTCAGTCCTGCTTCGGATCTGTCTGGCTCTCCAGCACACAGCCCATTTGTCCTATGTACAGGCACCGAGCAGCAGGCTATGTATATGGAGGTTCGCAGGGAGCAGCAGCCTACAATACAGGTCCAGGATGGCAGCGTTCGGTCCTTCCGCTCCAAGGTGTGGCATTTTGGATTCAAAGAGCCAGAGTGGCAGATTTTCAACACGCAGCCTGGCTAATTTCCTGCTTCTTCTGGCACCAAAAGGGTCTGGGTTCCTCTCCTGTTCAGCCAAGGCGACAGCTGTCAAAGTGGCTGGGATTCCTGTGAGCCAGAACGTCAAGGTGAGAAATTTGTACCCCTTGCATTTTGTTGTGATCTCTGATGCTAGCTACAATTAAACCCCACAACTATGTACTGTTTACTTCACAACTAAGTCAATCAGTCAATTACAAATGCCCCTGCTCTGTCAGCTTGCAAATGGTTGGTGGTTATACCAAAAAAAAGCTTTTGAACATGTGTTAAAATGTTATAATGTGAAGGTATTATATAATGATACTACTAATGTCTGTTGATAAACATTGCAGTTCTATTGTCATAGAACACCGGTGCAAAGAATGAATGAAATGAATATCAAACTGAAGCATGCTTTGCTGCTTTTATTGTGTTTTTTTTTATCCCAAGTTTAACACACAAATGGACTGTAAAGATAACAGTGCTAAAGGCGATAGTAGAAAGAGGCACGTGTTCCTCTTCTCTGTTTATTGTTCATTGTAATTCATGTTTAATGTAAAATAATAAATCCATCACAAGCGAGGTTGGATTTTAAATATATTAACGCTCTTTTGGAATATGGTTATAGAAAATTGTATGTAGCAAAATGTTTTTTTTTTTTTAAGTGTATGTTAATGCTGTTAAAATATTTTGCTCTTTGGAAATAGTGTATTTGGGGACCTGTGTATATCTGAATCTGACCCTGTCTTTTTAATGTTATTATTATTGTCTTTAGGGCTGCTTAGAAAGAAAAAGGGAAGGGAATTTTTGAGCAAAGTACTGTTACTGTGGGGTTTTTTTGTTTTCCAAAAATTCATGACCAATAATTAAGAGGGATGCCTGGCTGATTTCAGCTTTCAGTTTTGTGTTTGTTGTGATCTGCTAGCTGATGAAGTATAACATTTGCATTGCATTGCAGTGTCTGCTTGACTGCATTGAGTCGAGGATTTATCGTTGACTGTAGTTTCAGTGCTGCCACTGTGTGGTGGTTGGTGGTATCTACCAGTGTAGTTAAAAAAAGGTTTACATTACTGAAGGTTATAGAGGTGATTTGCAATAGCAACAGCATTATTCTGGACTCAGTTCGATGTAGTATTACAGGTGATAGAAATGTCTTTACTTTTCTTATTTTAAGCTGGTAAAACATAAACCTATTGTTGTTGTTATTCTGCATAACTATTAAAACATGCGATAGAAATGAATAAACGCTGCTACTGTACATAGCAGAAGCTTCAGTACATGTATTTTCAAATGAAAAAGGGAATATTAAAGAGCTGTGTAAGCTGATTACATATGGAACTGTGCTGTGTTATAAGTAAAACGCTAAAAGAGTTCGGTAGCAGCCTGCATTCAGTTATCTACATTTACACATTTTGTAGCTATCAATGTTCATTTCAGTTCGCAAAAAAAAATAAAAGAAACACTCAGCTGTAATCGGCTGCCCTGATTTCAACAAAAAATACATAGCCGTGCATATAAAATAAAGACAGAGACAAAATGGGGACGTCAGTGAATGCCCTTTTTATGCTCCTTCCAAAATGGCTGCCGCACCTAAGATTTAATGGTTTAAGCAGATTTTATTGCTTGGAAGCAAGATGAAAAGGGAAACAGAAGGGGCAGAGCCTTAACCATTGATCTGCCTGAAAAATCCCTGTTACATTTCACAGGCCCCCAGACAATTGCATGCCTAAAGTATGTCTTTACTCTCTTTTTTTTTTTTTTTGCTTTTGTAACATAGCTACAGAAGGCTAAGCCATCAAAATCAGATTCACTTCAGCTATCCTCCCCATTTTCAGTGCTATAGGGAATCAAATCATAAATATACAGTAAGCACTGCTCACATGTTTTTCTTTTACTTAGTTTTTAACAATTGTAATAGTTTCTCTATCCTTAAAACATTTTACCTAAGCTCAATCTTGCCATATTCCTATAATGAAAAATATGCCAGCCAAAATATAAAGACACCTTTGTGTAGACTGGTTGTAGATGTTTTTTTTATTGAGCTTTCAGAGCTAGATTGGGAAGTTTTAAAACACACATATTGCCCAGCGTTTACAATAGCACAAACAATATATACACACACATACATATACACCCTCCTCCAATCAAAGTCAGATATGCAGAAAATTCACAATTCACAGTCACATCCAAATATGTGATCTCAGGAAATACCAGAGGTGTGTTGGCCTTCCTGTACTTTCAGGTGCTGTAGCAGGTTTCCACCTTACACCCCATTATTTTACTGTAAGTGATTAATGCAAACTGAGCCACTACAGAGTCTTTCAGCATCAAAGATTCACATTCTTTTAAGCAATTAAAGTGTTTTATTGAGCCATGAGGGAACAAGGCTTATTCCAGGGCATGGGCCATAAACCCTACACCACATAAGATAAGAGGAAGCTTCTTATGCTAGACTTTCATTTGCTCGCAGCCTAGTTGTTCATGTTTTTTTGAAGGCTGGACATTTTTATCAGTCAAATCACATGCTTTCTTTACTTTTTTTGTGGTATAGAGACCGATACAGCAGATATAGTAAGGATGCATTGAATCAGCTAATTTAATTATAGTCATAATATTTAAATAAACAAAAAGAAATGCTCATCCCTAGCTAAATAATTTAACTCTGCCTGAACTTGTTTTGGGGAGGCGTTGTTGTATTGCTGTGTTTTGTTTTGGGCATAGTGCCTAATCCTGTCATATTCAAAATATGTTATTTTCTTCGTAATATTCCTGTTTAAATAATGTGTGGCTTTCTATTTTCAGAACGTCTACTTACAATATTTTGTTTCTGGGAGAATAATAGTGGATGAGCAAGATATATTTAATAAAAAAAGAATAATTACAAAGTAGAAGAAAAACATATTAAATTTCAAACACTTTATGTTAGCAAATGGCTAATATCTAACATTATATAAGATGCTGTTAAACGTCATTGTTTACTTCGCTGTTCTTCTCGTTTATATGGCTGTTTAAACTTTTAATAGGACATCAGTTGACAAACACTTATTGATAAATTCCTACTATGACAAGAATATTATGAAGGATAAACACTAATTAGTGACTGGTGAATTATTTTGATTTATCTGTTGTTATAAGTGCACTAGAGATGTGCATTCGTTTGTAAGTACATATGTAGAGATATTTCCCTACTTCTAGTGTACTTGGCTGTATGTAGAGTGATTGCAAGGGCTTATTGTTTTGATAAATGTGAATTCTGCACCTATGTGTTCATCTGCATATAATGCCAGGTATAATAGCAAATGCTTGTTATTGACAGCTCCAGTTGGACAAGAAGCAAGCAGATTTCACTCAAAAGATCACTAATTGCTCTCATCCGTGTAATAAGATGTGTATATTATTGTTGCATATGTGCTTGGGAAGCTGTGTGTTATTTGGAAGTTTGCTGGCTCAGTCCCCGTCCCAGGGGAGCACCATCATAACTCCTTCCTATTGGCTACTGAATGATCAGCTGCTTATATTTGCCTCTGTCGCTTTTGGCGCCTGGCCATCCAGAAACAAACCAGTTCGATGACTACTAATAGTTATAGCTAGATGTACTAATACACAACAAATCACAGAACTAGAGAGTGCAGAGCAAATGAGTTCGTACTTTGTGAATAGCACTTTCCCTGGGAGCCTGCCTAATGGACAGGACTCGTTTGTGGGTCAAATCCCCCTCTACTCATCGGGATATGAAGCTTTAAGGCATTTTCCTGGTTCTTATGGGACATCTCCCCTTCAGGACAAGTCCTACTCGTCGCCCTGCTTCTATCAGCAGTCCAGTACAGTTATTGCTTGCAACCGAAACTCTTATGACTATGGGACGTCTTGTTTCTATCCGGACAAGGACAGCACCAACAGCCCTTCCTCGTACCCTACCAACAAGAGATCCCATACCGGGGATTATCTCCATTTCTCTACTGAGCAGCAATACAAATCTACTAATATACAAGGTAAAATGTTCAATGAGGAAGCTAACGACCGGAAGTATAGTAACCCTGTCTACCCCTGGATGCAGAGAGCCAACTCCTGCGCTGGTAAGTCAGTAATTTATGCAGAAACAGAGCAGACCTTTGAGGACAGGCAGGGGACAAACGGGGTGCCAGACGTGACATTCCGTTTGAGTTTTTCTTTTCTTTTTTTTTTTTTGTAAGAAAAAAAAAAAATGAAAACAGTACAAAGAATATATGAGAATTTAAATGTTGGATAGGTCTATTATCACTATTATCACTTTCAACTCTCTCTCTCTTTTATACAGCTACAACTCTCTCTCTCTATTTTATACAGCTACATCTCTCTCTCTCTCTCTCTCACTCTCACTCTCACTCTCTCTCTCTCTCTCTCTCTCTCTCTCTG